ATATACGTATTTTGGAAATGTTGAGTCGGATTAGTCTAGAATCGATTAATTTTATGGAAGAAAATCTTTCAAACAGCCGTAGTCCGTAAACTTGATACGTGTCGGGTTGTGATTGGAAGGATTCGTAAGAAAGCGGATTCCTAGAGAATGGAACGTATCTCTATCTTATAGGGGGGTCGACTGTACTGATATGTCTATTTTCAATTACATATATGATGAAATGTCCCCTGCTTACTTTACTTATATACCCACATCAAACATTACATAACATTTTTTTTTCTAGTTGTTTCTAGAAAAAATCAAAATGTCTAATTTTATCTCTAAAATCTGATATGATACTTTAACATAACAGTTCAGTCAACATTATTGTTTACATATATGTATGTATTATTACATATATTCTGATTCTCATAACAGAAATACATAACAAAAAATATTAACAGTCCAGTCATATATAATGTATTGAAACAAAAACATCTCAGATATAAAAAGTTTTGCCAAGTAAAAATTTATGACAATTTAGACAATGGTCAAAATTTTTCTTAGCAGTTTTTCTTTAGTAAAGATAAGCTTGGTGCTTAAATTAAAGGCAAAATATAAGGTAAATGCAGGTAAAAAAATCTTGTGTGTACTGCTTTCAAATGCCAAGCTTATCTTTACCAAAGAAATTATCTTTGGGTGTTTGGGGCAGAGAAATCAGCCCCTGAAAATTGGCAACTCTGATTGGTGTGTGTGTATATTATATTTATGTCAGTCAGTGACATTTTTACTTAGCGGTGAATCACTGCTGTGACTCCTGATCATTAATAATATTCTCAATTATTATATTATATCTATATCTATATTATTATTATAAAGAAGTAATGTTTGTAAGTAAGTAAGTTTGGATGTAGTGGGTAATCTCTGAAACTACTCATCTGATTTCAAAAATTATTTCACTAATATTTAGAATGGAACTTCAGGGTGGACATAGGCTGTATATTATTCCGGTAAACATTCATATAAATTAAAACAGTGTTTTTCAACCTTCTAGAATAAGCGATCGCTTAACAAGTTAAAAAATTCTGGCAACCTATAGGGCCATATTTAAACTATATCAGCGATTTTAAAAACTACGTATTTAATTTTCTTACTTTAAATATCGATCAAAAAACCAATTGTACTGTAAAATAAACAGGCACAACCTTCTCACTGAAATTCTAGTTTTTTATTATTGTAGTGTAGGACCTACAAACACTTGTCTTTTTCTTTCACCCATGAACCCCCGTGTAAGGCTTTGCAACCCCCTGGGGGTCGTGACCCACAGGTTGAAAAGCATGAATTAAAAGATATCATCTAGGTTAAGGCTTTTATGTCCAACAGATGGCACTACGAGTACGATGACCTAAGTTTGCTTTTCTGTGAGGCATTATGCTTTTCTGTGAGGATGAACTAAAGCAGATCATCTTCTATCTATCTACATAAATAAAAATGTAATGTTCGTTTGTTCCTACTGATTCCTTTGAAATATTGACACAACGCTACATTCGAATATGCACGTGTTTTTATATAATATACATGTCGAAATTCCCCCCACTGGGGGGAGATGGTTAGGATTAAGGCTTACCGTAAAGAACTTGGCTTCTATTATACTCTTTTAGATGCGGTTTTTTGCGTTTTTGATTGTGTTTTAATAGGGTACGTCAACAGAATGTACACTAAGAAGGGATTTTTCGAAAAATTTCCTTCATGGGGAAAGTGTTATACATTTATAATAGATACATTTTGAGCCACAACAACGCGTGGCGGGGTCTGCTAGTACTGTATATAACAATTTTAGAATTTGAGGGAAATTTGATTTTATTATAGTATTCAATATTTTTATTAGGGATATTTAACAATATAAATTAAACAGATAAAATGTATTATTGTGTACTGGCACAATGAAGTGACGTTTTTCTCAACACTGGGCTAGTTGAATCTTTTATTTAGTTAGATAAAATGTATTTTAAGTAGATTAATATGAATATACTAATAATTTATGTTTTTATGAAATAATTGGTATTAGAAGTGCAATGAAACCTTGATTTAACAGACCTCAATTTAATTTTTGTTCTATAGGAAAAATTTAAACCTTTTTTATTTGCAAATAGAGCATGCTGAAAGGTTATAACAATGACTTAATGCATATGAATTACTTAATGTACCATACATCATAACACATTTTGCAGATTTTAAGTTCATTATTAATATAATTTAAAACATTTGATTTCATGTGCTTTTACAATAATGGACACCCCTTTCCCTCAATTAGTCTATTAAATTGAGGGTTTATGAATTAAAATTATTATGAAAGCATTCAATTTCATTAATATATTTCTTTTCATTACAGGTTATGAATGTCCAACTTTAGAATCTGGAAAATTATATTTATATGGCATGAGATTTTGTCCTTATGTTAACAGAGTTAGATTAGTTCTCTCAGCCATGAACATCGAGTAAGCAAAGACAAATTTTGTTTTCTGTTTATTTTAACTATTATATATTTTAAATCTTTATTTTTTTTATGAGTAAAAGTTTAGAATAATTTTGTAAATTTATGACCTAAAGAATGATTGATTCATAATAGTAGAAATGCACTATAACTTTGAAAATATGAAAGTGATTCTTGTCATTAGTAAATTATGTATGACAAATATATTGGTAACATTTTTATTGACATTGAAACTCCTTTTGAAGAACATTTAAGCATTATCTTATTTGCTATGGCAGATACATTACATTTTTCAATTGAAAAGTTGTAGGAGTTGATGAAATTAGTCTAAATCAATTTTATTGCTTAAATTTCTGAACACGTTATTAAGCAATAATTCAACTTTACATTTATAAGCAGCTCAGAGTAGTTTATTTAACATGAAAGAAAAAACATTACATCCAAATTTAATTAATGATGTGATTGAAATGCTATCCTTCCACATCAATACACAACTAAGCATGGAAGTAATTGATTCATAAATGTTTCCAGTAACTTCTGCACATGATACTGCAATTCTGTCCTGCAAATTTGTGTGAAGGTTGCCAACTTGGGGATAACCAAACATCAGGATTTATTGAATGTGGGGTGAATGGATGCAAGGCAGACAGCTACAATTACAAATAAGCCTGTTTATTTACGCAAAATCTTGCACTCTACAGTGCGTCTCATTGACTGTTGGTGCTGGTCAGTAGAGTTGTCTGACCACCCTGGGGCTGTCAAGTTGTTTCTATGAGGGTCAAGAAGTCAGTGAAGTATCAAAATCCAAATAGTCTAAGGCAGCAGGGTAAAGGGAGGGATGACAAGTCTGCATGTGGAGCACAGCAGACTAGACAGACAACTTCACAATGAGAGGCAGAGGAAAGTCTACCTTTGTCCTTGAGATCCAGCCTTTTAAAGAATTCTTTCCCCAGATCTCTAGCTTTCTGATTGGTTGATTTCTTGTATCCAGGTAGATAACAGACTGTTTTGGGCTATAAAGGGTCAAATTCAACACCGCGTTTTATTCGATCAAGGGAAATTAATTGCACTTTGAAATTCCTGCTTGTATTTAACTATTACTTTGAATTCTTGTAAGTCTGACACAATCTCCATGCTAGATCTCCTTTTAAGGTTATGTAAAATTTTTTTTCTTGACTAATAATTTTATTCCTTCCTGATTTTATTTAGGTTTTTCTTTGATTTACAAGCATTAGAATCAAAGCCCAATTCCCTGATTTGACACTTTTATTAAATTTTTAACACATGAGTTTGAGTATTTCTTGGACCTCACATTTGCAATGGTAGTTGTAGCAGTTGAATAGACTATATTTTAGATAACCCATAGGAAAAGGCCAATGCAATTATGTCTGGTGAGCATGGTGGCCATTCCACAGATTCTCTCCTTGATCAATCCAGTGATCTGGAAATTCACAGTGCAACCAAACCAGTCTAAACTCAGTATGATGATAGAGTGAGGCTTTGTTAGGCTGCAACCATATCACCACACCATAATTTCTATCCAAATTTATAAAATACAGCAGAATTTCATTTTAACAAATTGCAGAACAATGGATTTTTTTCCAGGTCCTGCAAATCAATGTAATCACAAAATTTAAAGCAATGGGATTGGTTAAAAATTCATAAAAATTTTTGTTGTAAATTCTAAAAATTAACAAAATAATTTCTAGATTAAAACCAAGTAAAACTACTTTCTCTTATTTGACTTTGAGTGATTTATTTTAGCAGACAAACAAATAATGTAGAAATACTAAACTTTAATTACTAATAACTTTAAATTCACAAAATTCATCATAAAATCCAAATGCATTTCACTTACAATAAAGCTTCATCAGTGAACATAATGAACCCTAACAATTTCTGTTCCTTTTATGCTGTGTGATTTTTTCCTAGCATGTATCTACATTCATCCCGGTATTCAGATTTATTACATTTGCATATGCTATGATACAAAAATGTTCTATTATTNTCTTAATGCAAAATTTAATTTTATGATATGTAAAATATTTTTAAAATTGTTCAAAATATTTTATTCCTTTGCTGATAAATCAAATATTTTATGAAACTTGACAAAAATGATAACTTTTTAATTATAAAATATTCAAGTTTTCCTCCCAAGGTTTCTTCCTCATTGCTGGGATACTAGTTCAAACTGCATAGATATTTTCTTGTGATGCTGTTATGTAGTTCACTTCACTTTTAAAGTATACTGAAAAAAAAAAACTGGAAACCTTAATCTAATTTCTTTATAGATTATTATTACTGAAATAACTATACTTGCAATGTTGTCATCATTAAGACCTTATCTGCTTATTTTATCAAGTGTAATTTATCAATTTTATCTGATAAATTTAAATGATTCTTTATTATATGGAACACTTTTCTTATATCAAATTGCAGTTCATGAGGACTGTTTTACAAAAGTGTAGTGATTAGTTAGTGTGAAAAGTTTTTCAAAAATGATTGTACAATAACTAGTCATATTACAGACTAACAACTAAATTAAATACTAAATTAATGCATGTGTATTGACTATGGCTATATCGAAATGTAGCCAGTCTATTTATGGGGTAACTTGATTGAGGACTTTACAAATAAATGACACTTGTTGGTGGAAGAATTAATTTAATGCTAAATCAAAGAATAAAATTTACAAAACAGCTAGCGGACTTACACAGTATTCTTACAATTATACAAATTTCTTAATCTCATCCACTAATTACAAAGAGATTGCTTGAGATCACAATGTTACTAATATGCACTTATTCTAAAGATCTATACAAATATTTACATGGTGATATGCTCGGTAGTTCCATACTCTTAACACAATTACTTGATGAAATTGATGTTCTTTGTTTACACACGTGGTCAAAGCTTAATTAACAAACAAAATTATAAAATGTCGAATTGGGGAAATAATTGTCCCAATGAGTGAGCCTAATTCTTACATATATTTTTAATCAAATTACTTGCCAGTTGCGGTCAAATCCAGATCGATGGGGTTGGCTTGTCCTTTAGCACACAATAGTTCAATCTCCTATCTTTACTCTTTGATTCTTACACAAAACTCTCCACTCATTTATTCCAATTATTCTCATTTATTTGTCAATTTTTGGAGTGTACAGGAACATGATGGGAGCTCAGATGGGAGCTCAAAAGTCCAGTCCAGTCTCAAGAGTCCAAGAAGGAAAAAAAAGCCCTCTTACACATGTGACACGTATTTTTATAGCTCCCACCATCCGGGAACATCACTATACATAATCTGTACTAGACCAATCTACATTCACAACTGTGGTGACCCCAAAAGGTGATACAGAAGTTATAAAATACATATGCGTAACAAAGAGAAAGAGAGAGAAAAAAAAAACCTGATACAATATCACTTAAGAATGGAATATGATTAAAATTTCTTTATACAACTAAATAACTATAGTGGTGGAGCACTACACATGATTTGATTTTTAGTCGAAACTTTCCTATTCTGAGAGAATTAAAAAGTTTGTGCAATGAACCAAGTGCATTGAAAAGCAAGGAGACTATGTTAATTTAAAAAAAAAATTTTTTTAATTACTATTATAAATTTTATAACTACATGCATTACATTTAATTATTAATTCATCCTCTAGTTTAGCATATTCTTTAAAACATCATTTAGAATCAAACAATATCTAAATGTAAACTTTAACATATAAATTGCTTATCTTAATCATGATTTCATTCTTTGAAAAGACAGAAAAAACATGTTTGTTTCATATGGAATCTTTATATGTATCTTATCATTCAATGTGCAATTCTGTTATGTAAAATTATGGGAACAAACCTGTTCTTTCATTAATGAAATTCAGTTTTTTCTTTGGAAACAGTTGATAATTTCATACATTACAGGGACAAATGATTTTTTTTTTCTTAGTTTCTTTTCTTTCTAAATATTTTTCATAATTGCAATACTGATATCAGGTTGTAAAAGTGAAATATAAACATTTTGAAAAAACTTCATTGATAATTAACTCAATAATTACAGTTTAGTCTTCACATCTTGCCACCTTTTACTGCAAACTTTCAATCCCATAAGCATAGAATGACTGGGGTTTTACTTTGAAGAAAACCTCAAGCATCAGGTATTGTCACTGAACTGTTATTGGTTCTACAGAATGCAAAACCAATAGTAGTCAGTTGGCACAAAGTTTTGGCTGTAAGGTGGATGAGACAGAATCTTTCAGCTCAAATTGGCCACTTCTCTAAGATCATCTTTGTTCTGTGCTGGCATGTTGTCATGGTAATATTGGACTTTGTCAATTTTTGGAGTGTACAGGAACATCCAAGTTTGTTGAAATTAAAATACTGTAGTAGAGATAACAGAGACTTATCACACTGCTACTGGTAACATCAAAATGGCACTTCTATCATCAGAATTGCAGTCACAACTGCTATAATGGCTTATCAAGATTTTCTTTTCAGATATTGCCTGTTTATAATGAATCCTCATGGTACTGTGCAGTGTGGGTGGAAATAAATCTTGAACAGGTATGTTTTAAATTGTAACTAATGTCAATTTCTCTGCAAATCTGTTCTAAAACAGATATTTATTAGTGATGTAACGAATATTCGGTTACTATTCGGTATTCGGCCTATTTTTCACTATTCGGCCGAATACCGAATATTTAATCACTATTTGGCCGAATACCGATTACCTTAAAACAGGAGTTATAAACAACAAAAACACAGTAAATTAATCATTTTGGTATTTAGAGTTAATGTTATAGAGTTAATGTTGTTTGTTTATATTTATTTATAACTTGTAACATGCACAAAATAAAAAAGAAAATAATATTAGTCACATGTATTCACAATTTATAATTACAAAGATCAGCACACGTACACGTCTATCGTTGGAGAATCCTCGCACATCTGAGGGTCTGACCCTGCCTATCCTTTTTAAGCGCTTGTCTTTGCTCTTCCCTTTCTCTTTCCTCCATCGCTCTAATCCATGTATGCATGTATGCCATCACAATACGCGCTCACGATACTTTTGATTCGTCACTTTTCCGTCGTAGAGTTCCCATTTTACAATTATGTGACTCGGCCTGGTGATAACGGAGAAAAGAGACATATAGGACGTAGATATAAGTCACAGCTATGATTTCTAAGATTCGAGACAGCTTGATAGCCCGAACGGCCCCAGGCTTTCGCCCATGCACGCTAAGTGACTTTCATTACAAGCATTTAGCTTTCTGAAGTCTATGACAACAATTGTTTGGCATTGATGGCTGCGAATTTCGTGCCAATAAGCTGCTTCGACTCGTTCGATTATGTTATCGACTCAATTTCATATTTATTTTCATATTTTCACTTCGCGGTCCTTCTCTGTTCTTTCTCCGTTATTTACACGTGTAGGACATTTCATTGTTATCCACATTTGATATCACTTATCACATACTGCCATGACGCTCATGTCTGTCCGCTTCAACTGTCAAGAATTAACGCGATTGGCAAAGCGTAGTGACAGTGGGCCAATAGAGAACGGGGTCCTTGCCATAATGTGGTTTGCACGCCAATTTTCGTACGTGCGATAATCAAGCCGAATAGTTTGGCCGAGTATTCGGCTATTTGGCCACGCTCCTGGCCGAATATTGTAATGAATAGTATTCATTACAATATTCATTCAATTCATTACAATTCAATATTCATTCAAATTCATTACAATATTCATTCAATTCATTACAATTCAATATTCATTCAAATTCATTACAATTCATTACAATATTCGGTCTTAGGCCGAATATTGTAATGAATAGTATATTCGGCTTAAGTCCGAATATACTATTCATTACAACACTAATATTTATATATTTTTATGTATGGCTGATGAGGGTCTTGTGTACAAGAATGCATACCAGTAATAAAGTTGCAATTTGTTGATAGAAGTACCATTTTGATATTACCAGTAGCAGTGTGATAAGTCTGTTATCTCTACTACAGTATTTGAGATTTTAGTTTCAACAATATTTGAGACAAGCTTTTTTATAACATTCAAGTTGTTATGCTAATTCTCTGATGGTCAATCATTGACTCTATCAGTTGCAGGAGAATGTTGTCATCAATGGTAGGATTGCTGTCTGGATGGGGTTCATCTTGAAGCAAGAAATCCAGCTTTGAATTTCTTGAATCAATTATAGCAGATCTGTCTGTTGATTGTGTCCTCTCCAAATGTCTTAGATGAGATCATGAGCCTTCATTGCATGGTGGCCATTTTTGAAGTGAACATGAATGTGTTGTTTTGAAAGTTTCATATTATCAGATATTACAGTCGACCCCCCTATAATTACGGTCCCTATAGTTACGATTCCTATAAAAATACAAAAAAATTGCTACCGGTATCCGTAAAAAATAGTAAAAGTTCCCTATAAACACCTCAAACGTCATCGGGAAGCCGAACTACTTTCCCGCCGTCCGTAGCGCCACGCTACAGAGAGATTTCTATCGTCTGGACAGTATTATATAAATTATATATAAATTAGGTACTGTACATATAATTATATATTAATTATATATAAATTAGGTACTGTATATATAATTATATATTAACTTATTGTAACTTTGTTATAATTAAATATATAATTTCCGCCGTCTAGCGTGGCGCCACGCTACGGAGATTTTTACGCTAACTATCGTCTGTCAGTATGTAAATTAGGTACCGTAAGTCTAATACAGTACTGTAATTTTATACATTTCTTGTGAAAGAAACATTTCTTATTCAACGGCGATTAAAATTATTTATATTAATGATGTCTCCGAAGTTCTACGAAGTTTTCACAGAAAAATAAGTTGTTAGAAATCGGCCGCTCTTTGCTGAGCTGTTCCGCGACGAAAACAATGTTGAGCAATGGCAATGTCGAATGGTGACACTCGGTAAGTAATCCTACAATTTTTTGTTTATAGCGTAGTTTATACGGATTATTCCCAAAAAATATATACGTATTTTGGAAATGTTGAGTCGGATTAGTCTAGAATCGATTAATTTTATGGAAGAAAATCTTTCAAACAGCCGTAGTCCGTAAACTTGATACGTGTCGGGTTGTGATTGGAAGGATTCGTAAGAAAGCGGATTCCTAGAGAATGGAACGTATCTCTATCTTATAGGGGGGTCGACTGTACTGATATGTCTATTTTCAATTACATATATGATGAAATGTCCCCTGCTTACTTTACTTATATACCCACATCAAACATTACATAACATTTTTTTTTCTAGTTGTTTCTAGAAAAAATCAAAATGTCTAATTTTATCTCTAAAATCTGATATGATACTTTAACATAACAGTTCAGTCAACATTATTGTTTACATATATGTATGTATTATTACATATATTCTGATTCTCATAACAGAAATACATAACAAAAAATATTAACAGTCCAGTCATATATAATGTATTGAAACAAAAACATCTCAGATATAAAAAGTTTTGCCAAGTAAAAATTTATGACAATTTAGACAATGGTCAAAATTTTTCTTAGCAGTTTTTCTTTAGTAAAGATAAGCTTGGTGCTTAAATTAAAGGCAAAATATAAGGTAAATGCAGGTAAAAAAATCTTGTGTGTACTGCTTTCAAATGCCAAGCTTATCTTTACCAAAGAAATTATCTTTGGGTGTTTGGGGCAGAGAAATCAGCCCCTGAAAATTGGCAACTCTGATTGGTGTGTGTGTATATTATATTTATGTCAGTCAGTGACATTTTTACTTAGCGGTGAATCACTGCTGTGACTCCTGATCATTAATAATATTCTCAATTATTATATTATATCTATATCTATATTATTATTATAAAGAAGTAATGTTTGTAAGTAAGTAAGTTTGGATGTAGTGGGTAATCTCTGAAACTACTCATCTGATTTCAAAAATTATTTCACTAATATTTAGAATGGAACTTCAGGGTGGACATAGGCTGTATATTATTCCGGTAAACATTCATATAAATTAAAACAGTGTTTTTCAACCTTCTAGAATAAGCGATCGCTTAACAAGTTAAAAAATTCTGGCAACCTATAGGGCCATATTTAAACTATATCAGCGATTTTAAAAACTACGTATTTAATTTTCTTACTTTAAATATCGATCAAAAAACCAATTGTACTGTAAAATAAACAGGCACAACCTTCTCACTGAAATTCTAGTTTTTTATTATTGTAGTGTAGGACCTACAAACACTTGTCTTTTTCTTTCACCCATGAACCCCCGTGTAAGGCTTTGCAACCCCCTGGGGGTCGTGACCCACAGGTTGAAAAGCATGAATTAAAAGATATCATCTAGGTTAAGGCTTTTATGTCCAACAGATGGCACTACGAGTACGATGACCTAAGTTTGCTTTTCTGTGAGGCATTATGCTTTTCTGTGAGGATGAACTAAAGCAGATCATCTTCTATCTATCTACATAAATAAAAATGTAATGTTCGTTTGTTCCTACTGATTCCTTTGAAATATTGACACAACGCTACATTCGAATATGCACGTGTTTTTATATAATATACATGTCGAAATTCCCCCCACTGGGGGGAGATGGTTAGGATTAAGGCTTACCGTAAAGAACTTGGCTTCTATTATACTCTTTTAGATGCGGTTTTTTGCGTTTTTGATTGTGTTTTAATAGGGTACGTCAACAGAATGTACACTAAGAAGGGATTTTTCGAAAAATTTCCTTCATGGGGAAAGTGTTATACATTTATAATAGATACATTTTGAGCCACAACAACGCGTGGCGGGGTCTGCTAGTACTGTATATAACAATTTTAGAATTTGAGGGAAATTTGATTTTATTATAGTATTCAATATTTTTATTAGGGATATTTAACAATATAAATTAAACAGATAAAATGTATTATTGTGTACTGGCACAATGAAGTGACGTTTTTCTCAACACTGGGCTAGTTGAATCTTTTATTTAGTTAGATAAAATGTATTTTAAGTAGATTAATATGAATATACTAATAATTTATGTTTTTATGAAATAATTGGTATTAGAAGTGCAATGAAACCTTGATTTAACAGACCTCAATTTAATTTTTGTTCTATAGGAAAAATTTAAACCTTTTTTATTTGCAAATAGAGCATGCTGAAAGGTTATAACAATGACTTAATGCATATGAATTACTTAATGTACCATACATCATAACACATTTTGCAGATTTTAAGTTCATTATTAATATAATTTAAAACATTTGATTTCATGTGCTTTTACAATAATGGACACCCCTTTCCCTCAATTAGTCTATTAAATTGAGGGTTTATGAATTAAAATTATTATGAAAGCATTCAATTTCATTAATATATTTCTTTTCATTACAGGTTATGAATGTCCAACTTTAGAATCTGGAAAATTATATTTATATGGCATGAGATTTTGTCCTTATGTTAACAGAGTTAGATTAGTTCTCTCAGCCATGAACATCGAGTAAGCAAAGACAAATTTTGTTTTCTGTTTATTTTAACTATTATATATTTTAAATCTTTATTTTTTTTATGAGTAAAAGTTTAGAATAATTTTGTAAATTTATGACCTAAAGAATGATTGATTCATAATAGTAGAAATGCACTATAACTTTGAAAATATGAAAGTGATTCTTGTCATTAGTAAATTATGTATGACAAATATATTGGTAACATTTTTATTGACATTGAAACTCCTTTTGAAGAACATTTAAGCATTATCTTATTTGCTATGGCAGATACATTACATTTTTCAATTGAAAAGTTGTAGGAGTTGATGAAATTAGTCTAAATCAATTTTATTGCTTAAATTTCTGAACACGTTATTAAGCAATAATTCAACTTTACATTTATAAGCAGCTCAGAGTAGTTTATTTAACATGAAAGAAAAAACATTACATCCAAATTTAATTAATGATGTGATTGAAATGCTATCCTTCCACATCAATACACAACTAAGCATGGAAGTAATTGATTCATAAATGTTTCCAGTAACTTCTGCACATGATACTGCAATTCTGTCCTGCAAATTTGTGTGAAGGTTGCCAACTTGGGGATAACCAAACATCAGGATTTATTGAATGTGGGGTGAATGGATGCAAGGCAGACAGCTACAATTACAAATAAGCCTGTTTATTTACGCAAAATCTTGCACTCTACAGTGCGTCTCATTGACTGTTGGTGCTGGTCAGTAGAGTTGTCTGACCACCCTGGGGCTGTCAAGTTGTTTCTATGAGGGTCAAGAAGTCAGTGAAGTATCAAAATCCAAATAGTCTAAGGCAGCAGGGTAAAGGGAGGGATGACAAGTCTGCATGTGGAGCACAGCAGACTAGACAGACAACTTCACAATGAGAGGCAGAGGAAAGTCTACCTTTGTCCTTGAGATCCAGCCTTTTAAAGAATTCTTTCCCCAGATCTCTAGCTTTCTGATTGGTTGATTTCTTGTATCCAGGTAGATAACAGACTGTTTTGGGCTATAAAGGGTCAAATTCAACACCGCGTTTTATTCGATCAAGGGAAATTAATTGCACTTTGAAATTCCTGCTTGTATTTAACTATTACTTTGAATTCTTGTAAGTCTGACACAATCTCCATGCTAGATCTCCTTTTAAGGTTATGTAAAATTTTTTTTCTTGACTAATAATTTTATTCCTTCCTGATTTTATTTAGGTTTTTCTTTGATTTACAAGCATTAGAATCAAAGCCCAATTCCCTGATTTGACACTTTTATTAAATTTTTAACACATGAGTTTGAGTATTTCTTGGACCTCACATTTGCAATGGTAGTTGTAGCAGTTGAATAGACTATATTTTAGATAACCCATAGGAAAAGGCCAATGCAATTATGTCTGGTGAGCATGGTGGCCATTCCACAGATTCTCTCCTTGATCAATCCAGTGATCTGGAAATTCACAGTGCAACCAAACCAGTCTAAACTCAGTATGATGATAGAGTGAGGCTTTGTTAGGCTGCAACCATATCACCACACCATAATTTCTATCCAAATTTATAAAATACAGCAGAATTTCATTTTAACAAATTGCAGAACAATGGATTTTTTTCCAGGTCCTGCAAATCAATGTAATCACAAAATTTAAAGCAATGGGATTGGTTAAAAATTCATAAAAATTTTTGTTGTAAATTCTAAAAATTAACAAAATAATTTCTAGATTAAAACCAAGTAAAACTACTTTCTCTTATTTGACTTTGAGTGATTTATTTTAGCAGACAAACAAATAATGTAGAAATACTAAACTTTAATTACTAATAACTTTAAATTCACAAAATTCATCATAAAATCCAAATGCATTTCACTTACAATAAAGCTTCATCAGTGAACATAATGAACCCTAACAATTTCTGTTCCTTTTATGCTGTGTGATTTTTTCCTAGCATGTATCTACATTCATCCCGGTATTCAGATTTATTACATTTGCATATGCTATGATACAAAAATGTTCTATTATTATTCTTTTAAAACAATTTTTAACTTTATATAATATTTTAACATTACTTCTATTTATTTTACAGTTAAATTTATTACAATGTAGACACCACAGTGATTCTTGTCTTTTTAATCTAAAAGCAGCTTCATGTTCTTTTAACCTGGTCTCCAACTTCCTTCCTGTTTCACCTATGTAAAGTTTCAGTCTTGGACGAGTACACAATAGCTTGTAAACAACACCTGCAACTTCAAGTTGGTTTTTGGATGTATTCTGGTCTTGATGAATGTAATTAATATTATAAATAATGATCTTATTTTTTTGTTCTGCCACTATACACACAGAATATTTCTTGAAAACTGGTTTATATTTTTCAAATAAATTATTTATATAAGGGTAAATTCCCTTATATATGAATTATTTGTCATTTGATTTTTAACTTTATATCTATGATTTATATAATACTTATACCACTTACATACTGTATTCTTTGGGTAATCGTTTAATAAATATTTTGTAAAAAATTGTCTTGTTTCTATTTCTATATCTTCTTGTAGCGTTGTTCTATTTAATATTTTCTTTAGTTTTATTATAAATACGTTCTTCTTGGTTTCTATTGGACAATATGATTTATAATTAATAATTTTCTTTGTGTTACATAATTTTTCATACTTACGAAACAAAATTTGGGTATTTTCTCTTTCTATAGTAACATCTAAAAATTCATTTCTCGTTTCTGTTCTTCTTCACTTTTAAACTTAGTATTTCTACGTTATTTGTTTGTCTGCTAAGATAAATCACTCGAAGTCGGATAAGAGAGAATAGTTTTACTTGCTTTTAATCTAGAAATTATTTTNACTATACACACAGAATATTTCTTGAAAACTGGTTTATATTTTTCAAATAAATTATTTATATAAGGGTAAATTCCCTTATATATGAATTATTTGTCATTTGATTTTTAACTTTATATCTATGATTTATACAATATTTATACCACTTACATACTGTATTCCGTGGATAATCATTTAATAAATATTTTGTAAAAAGTTGTCTGTTTCTTGTTTCTATTTCTATATCTTCTTGTAACATTGTTCTATTTAATATTTTCTTTAGTTCCATTATAAATACGTTCTTCTTGGTTTCTATTGGATATGATTTATAATTAATAATTTTCTTTGTGTTACATAATTTTTCATATTTACAAAACAAAATTTGGGTAACTTCTCTTTTTATAGTAACATCTAAAAAATTCATTTCTTGATTCTGTTCTTCTTCACTTGTAAACTTTAAATTCTTATTTAACTTATTTGCATGTTCTTCAATGTCTTGGGGTGAAATTATTTGTGAATCACATATAATCAGTATATCGTCTATGTATCCTGAATAATATTTAATACCTTGAACTTGTGATATCTTTTCATCTTTTGGTATCATACAAATATCACAAGTTCAAGGTATTAAATATTATGCACGATACATAGACGATATAATGATTATGTATGAGGAAAAAGATCACACAGCATAAAAGAAACAGAAATTATTAGTGTTCATTATGTCCACTGATGAAGCTTTATTGTAAGAGAAATGCATTTGGATTTTATGATAAATTTTGTGAATTTAAAGTTATTGGTAATTAAAGTTAAAGTTTAGTATTTCTACATTATTTGTTTGTCTGCTAAAATAAATCACTNATATTGTAATGAATAGTATTCATTACAATATTCATTCAATTCATTACAATTCAATATTCATTCAAATTCATTACAATATTCATTCAATTCATTACAATTCAATATTCATTCAAATTCATTACAATTCATTACAATATTCGGTCTTAGGCCGAATATTGTAATGAATAGTATATTCGGCTTAAGTCCGAATATACTATTCATTACAACACTAATATTTATATATTTTTATGTATGGCTGATGAGGGTCTTGTGTACAAGAATGCATACCAGTAATAAAGTTGCAATTTGTTGATAGAAGTACCATTTTGATATTACCAGTAGCAGTGTGATAAGTCTGTTATCTCTACTACAGTATTTGAGATTTTAGTTTCAACAATATTTGAGACAAGCTTTTTTATAACATTCAAGTTGTTATGCTAATTCTCTGATGGTCAATCATTGACTCTATCAGTTGCAGGAGAATGTTGTCATCAATGGTAGGATTGCTGTCTGGATGGGGTTCATCTTGAAGCAAGAAATCCAGCTTTGAATTTCTTGAATCAATTATAGCAGATCTGTCTGTTGATTGTGTCCTCTCCAAATGTCTTAGATGAGATCATGAGCCTTCATTGCATGGTGGCCATTTTTGAAGTGAACATGAATGTGTTGTTTTGAAAGTTTCATATTATCAGATATTACAGTCGACCCCCCTATAATTACGGTCCCTATAGTTACGATTCCTATAAAAATACAAAAAAATTGCTACCGGTATCCGTAAAAAATAGTAAAAGTTCCCTATAAACACCTCAAACGTCATCGGGAAGCCGAACTACTTTCCCGCCGTCCGTAGCGCCACGCTACAGAGAGATTTCTATCGTCTGGACAGTATTATATAAATTATATATAAATTAGGTACTGTACATATAATTATATATTAATTATATATAAATTAGGTACTGTATATATAATTATATATTAACTTATTGTAACTTTGTTATAATTAAATATATAATTTCCGCCGTCTAGCGTGGCGCCACGCTACGGAGATTTTTACGCTAACTATCGTCTGTCAGTATGTAAATTAGGTACCGTAAGTCTAATACAGTACTGTAATTTTATACATTTCTTGTGAAAGAAACATTTCTTATTCAACGGCGATTAAAATTATTTATATTAATGATGTCTCCGAAGTTCTACGAAGTTTTCACAGAAAAATAAGTTGTTAGAAATCGGCCGCTCTTTGCTGAGCTGTTCCGCGACGAAAACAATGTTGAGCAATGGCAATGTCGAATGGTGACACTCGGTAAGTAATCCTACAATTTTTTGTTTATAGCGTAGTTTATACGGATTATTCCCAAAAAATATATACGTATTTTGGAAATGTTGAGTCGGATTAGTCTAGAATCGATTAATTTTATGGAAGAAAATCTTTCAAACAGCCGTAGTCCGTAAACTTGATACGTGTCGGGTTGTGATTGGAAGGATTCGTAAGAAAGCGGATTCCTAGAGAATGGAACGTATCTCTATCTTATAGGGGGGTCGACTGTACTGATATGTCTATTTTCAATTACATATATGATGAAATGTCCCCTGCTTACTTTACTTATATACCCACATCAAACATTACATAACATTTTTTTTTCTAGTTGTTTCTAGAAAAAATCAAAATGTCTAATTTTATCTCTAAAATCTGATATGATACTTTAACATAACAGTTCAGTCAACATTATTGTTTACATATATGTATGTATTATTACATATATTCTGATTCTCATAACAGAAATACATAACAAAAAATATTAACAGTCCAGTCATATATAATGTATTGAAACAAAAACATCTCAGATATAAAAAGTTTTGCCAAGTAAAAATTTATGACAATTTAGACAATGGTCAAAATTTTTCTTAGCAGTTTTTCTTTAGTAAAGATAAGCTTGGTGCTTAAATTAAAGGCAAAATATAAGGTAAATGCAGGTAAAAAAATCTTGTGTGTACTGCTTTCAAATGCCAAGCTTATCTTTACCAAAGAAATTATCTTTGGGTGTTTGGGGCAGAGAAATCAGCCCCTGAAAATTGGCAACTCTGATTGGTGTGTGTGTATATTATATTTATGTCAGTCAGTGACATTTTTACTTAGCGGTGAATCACTGCTGTGACTCCTGATCATTAATAATATTCTCAATTATTATATTATATCTATATCTATATTATTATTATAAAGAAGTAATGTTTGTAAGTAAGTAAGTTTGGATGTAGTGGGTAATCTCTGAAACTACTCATCTGATTTCAAAAATTATTTCACTAATATTTAGAATGGAACTTCAGGGTGGACATAGGCTGTATATTATTCCGGTAAACATTCATATAAATTAAAACAGTGTTTTTCAACCTTCTAGAATAAGCGATCGCTTAACAAGTTAAAAAATTCTGGCAACCTATAGGGCCATATTTAAACTATATCAGCGATTTTAAAAACTACGTATTTAATTTTCTTACTTTAAATATCGATCAAAAAACCAATTGTACTGTAAAATAAACAGGCACAACCTTCTCACTGAAATTCTAGTTTTTTATTATTGTAGTGTAGGACCTACAAACACTTGTCTTTTTCTTTCACCCATGAACCCCCGTGTAAGGCTTTGCAACCCCCTGGGGGTCGTGACCCACAGGTTGAAAAGCATGAATTAAAAGATATCATCTAGGTTAAGGCTTTTATGTCCAACAGATGGCACTACGAGTACGATGACCTAAGTTTGCTTTTCTGTGAGGCATTATGCTTTTCTGTGAGGATGAACTAAAGCAGATCATCTTCTATCTATCTACATAAATAAAAATGTAATGTTCGTTTGTTCCTACTGATTCCTTTGAAATATTGACACAACGCTACATTCGAATATGCACGTGTTTTTATATAATATACATGTCGAAATTCCCCCCACTGGGGGGAGATGGTTAGGATTAAGGCTTACCGTAAAGAACTTGGCTTCTATTATACTCTTTTAGATGCGGTTTTTTGCGTTTTTGATTGTGTTTTAATAGGGTACGTCAACAGAATGTACACTAAGAAGGGATTTTTCGAAAAATTTCCTTCATGGGGAAAGTGTTATACATTTATAATAGATACATTTTGAGCCACAACAACGCGTGGCGGGGTCTGCTAGTACTGTATATAACAATTTTAGAATTTGAGGGAAATTTGATTTTATTATAGTATTCAATATTTTTATTAGGGATATTTAACAATATAAATTAAACAGATAAAATGTATTATTGTGTACTGGCACAATGAAGTGACGTTTTTCTCAACACTGGGCTAGTTGAATCTTTTATTTAGTTAGATAAAATGTATTTTAAGTAGATTAATATGAATATACTAATAATTTATGTTTTTATGAAATAATTGGTATTAGAAGTGCAATGAAACCTTGATTTAACAGACCTCAATTTAATTTTTGTTCTATAGGAAAAATTTAAACCTTTTTTATTTGCAAATAGAGCATGCTGAAAGGTTATAACAATGACTTAATGCATATGAATTACTTAATGTACCATACATCATAACACATTTTGCAGATTTTAAGTTCATTATTAATATAATTTAAAACATTTGATTTCATGTGCTTTTACAATAATGGACACCCCTTTCCCTCAATTAGTCTATTAAATTGAGGGTTTATGAATTAAAATTATTATGAAAGCATTCAATTTCATTAATATATTTCTTTTCATTACAGGTTATGAATGTCCAACTTTAGAATCTGGAAAATTATATTTATATGGCATGAGATTTTGTCCTTATGTTAACAGAGTTAGATTAGTTCTCTCAGCCATGAACATCGAGTAAGCAAAGACAAATTTTGTTTTCTGTTTATTTTAACTATTATATATTTTAAATCTTTATTTTTTTTATGAGTAAAAGTTTAGAATAATTTTGTAAATTTATGACCTAAAGAATGATTGATTCATAATAGTAGAAATGCACTATAACTTTGAAAATATGAAAGTGATTCTTGTCATTAGTAAATTATGTATGACAAATATATTGGTAACATTTTTATTGACATTGAAACTCCTTTTGAAGAACATTTAAGCATTATCTTATTTGCTATGGCAGATACATTACATTTTTCAATTGAAAAGTTGTAGGAGTTGATGAAATTAGTCTAAATCAATTTTATTGCTTAAATTTCTGAACACGTTATTAAGCAATAATTCAACTTTACATTTATAAGCAGCTCAGAGTAGTTTATTTAACATGAAAGAAAAAACATTACATCCAAATTTAATTAATGATGTGATTGAAATGCTATCCTTCCACATCAATACACAACTAAGCATGGAAGTAATTGATTCATAAATGTTTCCAGTAACTTCTGCACATGATACTGCAATTCTGTCCTGCAAATTTGTGTGAAGGTTGCCAACTTGGGGATAACCAAACATCAGGATTTATTGAATGTGGGGTGAATGGATGCAAGGCAGACAGCTACAATTACAAATAAGCCTGTTTATTTACGCAAAATCTTGCACTCTACAGTGCGTCTCATTGACTGTTGGTGCTGGTCAGTAGAGTTGTCTGACCACCCTGGGGCTGTCAAGTTGTTTCTATGAGGGTCAAGAAGTCAGTGAAGTATCAAAATCCAAATAGTCTAAGGCAGCAGGGTAAAGGGAGGGATGACAAGTCTGCATGTGGAGCACAGCAGACTAGACAGACAACTTCACAATGAGAGGCAGAGGAAAGTCTACCTTTGTCCTTGAGATCCAGCCTTTTAAAGAATTCTTTCCCCAGATCTCTAGCTTTCTGATTGGTTGATTTCTTGTATCCAGGTAGATAACAGACTGTTTTGGGCTATAAAGGGTCAAATTCAACACCGCGTTTTATTCGATCAAGGGAAATTAATTGCACTTTGAAATTCCTGCTTGTATTTAACTATTACTTTGAATTCTTGTAAGTCTGACACAATCTCCATGCTAGATCTCCTTTTAAGGTTATGTAAAATTTTTTTTCTTGACTAATAATTTTATTCCTTCCTGATTTTATTTAGGTTTTTCTTTGATTTACAAGCATTAGAATCAAAGCCCAATTCCCTGATTTGACACTTTTATTAAATTTTTAACACATGAGTTTGAGTATTTCTTGGACCTCACATTTGCAATGGTAGTTGTAGCAGTTGAATAGACTATATTTTAGATAACCCATAGGAAAAGGCCAATGCAATTATGTCTGGTGAGCATGGTGGCCATTCCACAGATTCTCTCCTTGATCAATCCAGTGATCTGGAAATTCACAGTGCAACCAAACCAGTCTAAACTCAGTATGATGATAGAGTGAGGCTTTGTTAGGCTGCAACCATATCACCACACCATAATTTCTATCCAAATTTATAAAATACAGCAGAATTTCATTTTAACAAATTGCAGAACAATGGATTTTTTTCCAGGTCCTGCAAATCAATGTAATCACAAAATTTAAAGCAATGGGATTGGTTAAAAATTCATAAAAATTTTTGTTGTAAATTCTAAAAATTAACAAAATAATTTCTAGATTAAAACCAAGTAAAACTACTTTCTCTTATTTGACTTTGAGTGATTTATTTTAGCAGACAAACAAATAATGTAGAAATACTAAACTTTAATTACTAATAACTTTAAATTCACAAAATTCATCATAAAATCCAAATGCATTTCACTTACAATAAAGCTTCATCAGTGAACATAATGAACCCTAACAATTTCTGTTCCTTTTATGCTGTGTGATTTTTTCCTAGCATGTATCTACATTCATCCCGGTATTCAGATTTATTACATTTGCATATGCTATGATACAAAAATGTTCTATTATTATTCTTTTAAAACAATTTTTAACTTTATATAATATTTTAACATTACTTCTATTTATTTTACAGTTAAATTTATTACAATGTAGACACCACAGTGATTCTTGTCTTTTTAATCTAAAAGCAGCTTCATGTTCTTTTAACCTGGTCTCCAACTTCCTTCCTGTTTCACCTATGTAAAGTTTCAGTCTTGGACGAGTACACAATAGCTTGTAAACAACACCTGCAACTTCAAGTTGGTTTTTGGATGTATTCTGGTCTTGATGAATGTAATTAATATTATAAATAATGATCTTATTTTTTTGTTCTGCCACTATACACACAGAATATTTCTTGAAAACTGGTTTATATTTTTCAAATAAATTATTTATATAAGGGTAAATTCCCTTATATATGAATTATTTGTCATTTGATTTTTAACTTTATATCTATGATTTATACAATATTTATACCACTTACATACTGTATTCCGTGGATAATCATTTAATAAATATTTTGTAAAAAGTTGTCTGTTTCTTGTTTCTATTTCTATATCTTCTTGTAACATTGTTCTATTTAATATTTTCTTTAGTTCCATTATAAATACGTTCTTCTTGGTTTCTATTGGATATGATTTATAATTAATAATTTTCTTTGTGTTACATAATTTTTCATATTTACAAAACAAAATTTGGGTAACTTCTCTTTTTATAGTAACATCTAAAAAATTCATTTCTTGATTCTGTTCTTCTTCACTTGTAAACTTTAAATTCTTATTTAACTTATTTGCATGTTCTTCAATGTCTTGGGGTGAAATTATTTGTGAATCACATATAATCAGTATATCGTCTATGTATCCTGAATAATATTTAATACCTTGAACTTGTGATATCTTTTCATCTTTTGGTATCATACAAATATCACAAGTTCAAGGTATTAAATATTATGCACGATACATAGACGATATAATGATTATGTATGAGGAAAAAGATCACACAGCATAAAAGAAACAGAAATTATTAGTGTTCATTATGTCCACTGATGAAGCTTTATTGTAAGAGAAATGCATTTGGATTTTATGATAAATTTTGTGAATTTAAAGTTATTGGTAATTAAAGTTAAAGTTTAGTATTTCTACATTATTTGTTTGTCTGCTAAAATAAATCACTTGAAGTCAGATAATAGAAAGTAGTTTTACTTGGTTTTAATCTAGAAATTATTTTATTAATTTTTAGAATTTACAACAAAAATTTTTACAAATCAATGTAATTTTACCTCCTTTCAGATCTGTAACTTGGAATAATGGATTTTTGATAGTTTGATTTATTGTAAACTTCACATTTTTTCAACATTTAGTTAATATGAGTGTTTCTAGTGTGGTATGATGTCATAATCTGTATATAGTTTGTAAGTTATATTATAATTTTTTTTCTTTCTTTCTTTCTATTGTTCTCTAATTTCTTTGTTCCCCAAAATTCGAGAACTTTCTATCCATGCCCAAATCCCGAAAGTGTGGAGGTAAACAATGGGTAGAGGAAGGCCCTGGGGCGGTCTGAAAGAGGACAAAGGACACTTTTTGGGTAGACTGCAGAGAGATTGGATGGATTGAGGATACTCTGGGTCGTTTTGTCAGTAGAAGACCAGGGTACGGAAGCATGGTGTAAAAGCAAGGAATAGGAGAAAGAGACGATATAGTAGGAGTTTTTAGCGGTGTGTTACCATAGGGACATTGAAGTGAGTAGAGTACTGATCTGGTGAGACAAAGGAATTTAAGTCCACCTGTACCACCAAGGGAATGAAAACAACAAAAAGAAACAATTGGGTACCCTATCCTATCTTTCTTCTTCCTTCATCTTTCTATATCTGCCTTCTATTATTTTGATATAAGTAGGTTAAGATAGATTTAAGAAAAAAAAAGCATGGCCCGCACTGGCAGACTGTTGAAACATGTATATTGTACAATTCCGGGTGTCTAAAGGATTGTAATGAAGTTTTTTTTATTTTGTATATCTTTGTGTCATGAAAAACCCCTTGTTTTCTTGTACTTGCCTCAGAGTTGGAGCCTGTGTTAATCCAAGAGAACGAAACTCTTATGTTCATACTCGATAATAAAGTTATTTTCTTTGTATTATATCCTGTTGTCATTTCAGTAACCCTGAACATCACACTAGGAATTGGTAGAATTCAATGATGCCTGGGCTATGTACAATTGAAGAATTGTATGAAGAGTCGGAAAGCTGATATAATTGATATAATCACCTAGTGAACATTTTGATGTTGTCCAAGTATAGTGCCAAAATTTAATGTGGCCATTCAGTATTTCCAAGTCATGAAGGCCTTCCTGACAAGTTTCAGCATAAACAAACAGGCTGTACATGACATTGCTAATATCAAGCAGTTGTATTTAATAGGCAGAAAAATGGCATCAAAACAAACCAGGATGGATGCATTTTTAACAAATTAGTTAGTCAAGTGAAGTGATAATTAGCATACGTAATTTGCCTTTTTTGTGCATCCAGTATATACAGTTTCTGTCAGCATTGTCATATACATGTATGGCATAATATACAATCTTGTAACATGTTTCTATAGAATAAAGAATAGAGATCTCAAGAGACTGAATAATTTCAAGTACTGGTATTTCTTATATATATAGGAGTTAAAAATTGGTAATTTTTCAAACAGATATTTTCCTGATTGTGTGGGAAATCCATTGTTTGAAATATAACAAATTCTTAAAACAGATCGTTTTTTGTCAGTCTGAACAATCTGTTATAATGATATTCTACTGTGTATTTATTATATCCTATTTGGTTGCTTTTAATAATATATATGATATATTCATCTAAAATATTTAATCTTTCATATCATTATGCAATATATTCTGTTAGGTTTTATTGTAGGAATTAAATAGTAAAAACTTTAACTTATTACTTTTGAGAATCATTTGATTTGAATGCAATATTTCTTTAAATTACAGTAGAACCTCAATTATCTGGACTAATTGGGGATGAAGGTAGTCCG